AAAAAGAGCCTAAGTAGCTGTGCAGATTTATTTGTTTATACACAATTGCCCCGTTTTAAAATAAAATTAAGAAATCCCCCCTGCCAGCACCAATGTGTATTGGACAGACATGTTTGTTGTTCACAGCATAACATAAAATTTGACTAACCTGCTTAGCAATTCAGTGTTAAAATAAGACGCTTCCTTTCATGCTATCTTTAATGTTGATGTTTTGTGTCATATTGCATGAGAAGCGCATATTACATGAGAGGGATGTTGAATGCAGGTGCAGACTGTGTGCATGCAGCCAGGTTTGTTATTAAAGGTAAAGGGACCCCTGACCATTAGGTCCAGTCGTGACCGACTCTGGGGTTGCGGCGCTCATCTCGCTTTATTGGCCGAGGGAGCCGGGGTACAGCTTCTGGGTCATGTGGCCAGCAGGACTAAGCCACTTCTGGTGAACCAGAGCAGCGCATGGAAACACCGTTTACCTTCCCGCCGGAGCGGTACCTATTTATGTACTTGCACTTTGACGTGCTTTCGAACTGCTAGGTTGGCAGGAGCAGGGACCGAGCAACGGGAGCTCACCCCGTCGCGGGGATTTGAACCGCCGACCTTCTGATCGGCAAACCCTAGGCTCTGTGGTTTAACCCACAGCACCACCCGCGTCCCTAAGGTTTGTTATAACATGCCTACAAACTGAATGATAGTGTAGAAAGCAAAACAGTAATCATAATCATTACTACTTTAGTGTTTCTATGCAAGTTTATTTATTTAGCATTTTCATTTAGGAGCCTTGATGTTCTCTGTTTCTATAGTCTCCATTTCTAGAGGAGGTGACTAAGATGAACCAAGTGTTCTAGATGCGGTAAGCAAAGTGAATAGATTACATTCAAGTTTGGTGGCATAATCTGAAATAGACCCATTAATAGTTTTCTCAGAGTGGCTGAAACTTTCCCAGTTATGTAATGTTTGAGATAAAAGTGTGTCCTTGGCCTGCTAGTCTCCTTAAGCATTACAGGTATTAACCGTCATGCAGTCTCCATCTGCTTCGTTTCCTCCCCTGTCAACAATCTGAAATGATTCATTCAAAATAGAACAGCAATGTAAGGAAGGTGTCGCTTGTTCTCATGCACCTTGTTAGTCACATGGAGCTGATCCCCTGTATATTTTCTGAGGGCTCATGCATATGCAATATTGCTTGAACTACAGATATAAAAGTCTTCCTGTGTACATTGAGCAGCTCAGGGAACACTCCTGCTTTTGGCAGAAGTGAGGTCACTGTCATAGAGATCTGCCATAGCAACCAACGTGGGTACTGACAGATTCAAAGAAGGAACACTCATGTCAGTCATTATGGAGCTTAAGATGCAAAAGAGAGATGTATTTGCACTAGTGAGATCCTAAACATACTTATTCTAAAGTAAGCTCCATTGTTTGCAATAGGGCTTACTCACAGATATGTGTGCATAGAGTTTCAGCCAATTCAATGACTCCATGCTCATAATTTTGCTGATATATAACCCTAGATTCTTAAGGAGTAAGCCAGTGCTTGCTTGCTTGCATTATGTAATGCAATGATGTCATTTTGAGTTTGCTTGCCTTTTAATCTGCTTACAAATATGTACTGAAAAAGGCGGGCCTTGTTGCCTTGAAGTTGATCTATGGCAAACAGAGAAATGTGTTTATCAGGCTATGTATTGTGCAGCCTTGATAAAATATTACACCTTTTCTCTGCCTCTGCTCTCAATCTGTAACATGTAGATTAGCAGCTCTGATCCTCTGCCTTAGGATACTGCTTTGGGAGTAACACCACGAGCAGCTCAGGATGGGAAGAACTTGTCAAGGGGAGAAAATATGTTGATTATCACACGCTTATTATGAATCCTCTTGAAATAAGCAATCATTCACTGCTGCTAACTTCATGCTTGGCTAGCAGAGCACATATCTAGTGGATTACATATGTAGCAAAATCCTATTTACTCAGAAGAAAACCCCATTTATTTCAACTGAATTTGGTCACAATTCTGTTCACACTTTCTGGGAGTAAACCCCACTGAACTCAATGTGACATACTTTTGTGTAGTCCTGCATACCACATGACCCAGAAAGCTGTCTGTCAAACGCTGGCTCCCTCGGCATGAAAAGTGAGATGAGCACTGCATCCCATAGTCGCCTTCGACGGGACTTAACCATCCAGGGGTCCTTTGGCTTTACCTGTGTTGTAAAGCCCTCTCCCCACCCAGACTGTTCATTGCACTTTTCCACATTTTAAGTCATTATCTATTGAGCTTTTTTTTAGGATTTTACCCCCGGAAATACGGTAAACAGCCAGATTAAACCGACTGGCGGGCCAGATTAGGTCCCCAAAATGGACTTTGGACATGCCTGTTTTATGGCATATTTCATGAAGACCCCATCCTACTTAGAATGCACACAGGGTGTATTCACTATCTCTAGGCCCAAAAATAAAAATAATCAATACTTTTAAGGGAAAGTACTTCAGTACTCAGTGCTTTTAGCAGGAAAATAATCACAGGCACATAGATCAATCAGGAAGCAAAAGAAATAAAATTGAAGCAGAATGTTGGCTTAGAATGGGTTACATTCACCTGCATTGCCTGGGAATTATAATTTACATACACCCCTAGTCAAACAGGCTACAGCACTTTAGCCACATACAGCAAAGCTTCTTTCTCCTTTTGTCCTAAGAAGGTAGCATGCATAGAATTAAGATACTGACAAACCAGATCTGTCAGTTTAGGGACCTGGGGCAAACTTAAGAGAAGAAAAGAAGCAAACAAAAGCAAAGGTGCAAAACGGGTGACATCAGTTCTAACCAATCTCAGACCTTCCTCTCAAGGTGCTCAATGTACGTAAAATATTTACATTTCCTAAAGCATGAAATGTCAACTAGTTTCCTTGACATTCACAAGTTACAGGGTTAGACAGATTTTAAGGCTGCTGTCTTGCTGATCGTAAATCCTGTTGAGATCAATTGGATTAAGTTTGAGTAAGTGTGAAATTAAGTTGGATTTCCCATCTCTTCTAGCAAGAGCTTTGGGTAACTGCTTATATAATTGATTGGCCATTGATTTGGGCAGGGAAATCAATCGTTCAGGAAGGACACCATTTAACATTTGACAATCCATAGGGGTTTAAAAAAATGATTTCTAAATTATACTCTTGGCATAGCAAACTGCTTATGCTTCCTTCTCCCCACTCCCTTGCAAGTTACCTTTCATTTAACTGGGTATGTATGTGGTTTATATGCTACTCATTATATAGCGCGCGCATGCACACACACACACACACACACCAGCCCTGTTTAGGGGAGTTTTTAATGTTTGATGTTTTATTGTATTTTTAATATTTTGTTGGAAGCCAGCCAGAGTGGCTAGGGAAACCCAGCCAGATGGGCAGGGTATCATCATCATCATGGCAAACACTCATATTTCTATGGCAATCATATTTTAGAAGCAGGACCTGCAGTGTGGAGAGCTGCTGTTCAGGTTCCAGTCGGCTAGCCATGCACTCTTCCAAAATCTTCCATTGCATCCACTTGTTTTCCCACCCCACCCCCTAAACAGCTGGCATCCCATAGCCACTGAGAGAGTCCCCCTCCATTACTGCCCTTTCTCCTGAGCTGAGTCTCCAGTTCTGAACACAGTCCTAAGGAACTCTGGCTAATCCTCAAATATAATCCTGGATTTCCCACCCTCTCAACTTTCATGTGTGTGTCTTTTGGGGATGGGGAGTGGATAAAGAATTGACCAAGCAAATATGCGTATAAAATCCTTCTTAGTTCAGGGAACAAGAGAAGTTACAGAGCTCTCTGACCTTAAAGGTAAAGGGACCCCTGACCATTAGGTCCAGTTGTGACCAACTCTGGGGTTGCAGCACTCATCTCGCTTTATTGGCCGAGGGAGCCGGCATACAGCTTCCGGGTCATGTGGCCAGCATGACTAAGCCGCTTCTGGCGAACCAGAGCAGCACACGGAAATGCCGTTTACCTTCCCGCCAGAGCAGTACCTATTTATCTATTTGCACTTTGACATGCTTTCGAACTGCTAGGTTGGCAGGAGCAGGGACCAAGCAACGGGAGCTCACCCCGTCGCGGGGATTCGAACCGCCGACCTTCTGATCAGCAAGTCCTAGGCTCTGTGGTTTAACCCACAGCGCCACCCGTGTCCCTTCTGCCTGACCTTAATTTCATGCAAACAAGGTGTCTCCTGAGCAGATAACCAGAGAAATTCGGTCCCTCGTTTATCCCTGATATCTGCAAACTGGATTTCTCTTTAGTTATCCATGGCAACCAGGGCCGGATTTAGGTTTCATGAGACCCTAAGCTACTGAAGGTAATGGGGCCCTTTATATGTCCAGCTGTCCTTTGTCAACAACAAATTGTCATTTTTTTGTGTTGAATATATGCTATATGGTAATATATGGACCTAATAGGTACCGTATCTGAAGCTGTTTGCACATAACAAAATATGTATTCTATCAAAGTAATTGTTGAACTGAAACACAATTAAGAAGTATATTAATGGTGAAATACAGTTAAGAAGTATGTTAAGTTAATAAATACCAGTGATATTTTAGAGAGCAGGCTAGCAGGCGGGGCTCATTACTTACATCATAGGAGCCTACACAACACAAAACACTGTTGCTGTCTGTAGGTTTTATATTATTTGTTGTTTATCTTATATTTTGGAAATGTACATCCAGGTGTTTTTTGCTTTAAATTTTTTTTGGGGGGGCCAAGAGAGTGGGGCCCTAAGCTATAACTTGTGTAACTTAAATGTAAATCCGGCACTGATGGCGATGGAAACTCGTGATTCTGCGCCCGCTCCCGAGCTTCTCACCCCATCTTACTCGGCCTATGTTCCAGGGTCACGACCCGGCTTCGGCAACAGGCGCCGCGGCTTGGCCTGCTCGCCTTCATTTGAGCGGGCCGCCTTCCCTTCTTCTCCGCCCCTTCTGTTGGTTGTTAGGCACGTGGTGCCAAGCGAGCACGCCGGCTGGCTGGCGAGCGCAATTTCGCCCGAAAAGCGCCGGCTGCTGCGTCCCGACTCTGCGCGTCCGAGGCGCCCGTCTTGCGCGCCCCTGTTTCCCCTGCGCTCTCCAATAGGGAGCGGTAGGAGCACCTTTGCAGACCTCCCCGCTTGGCGCTCCGAGAGCGGGGAAGTGATTCCCTCCCCGGCGCCAGCGCCTCGGCAGCAGCAGCCTTCGATTTCTCCCGCTCTTCTGGAGATCCACCCCCGGCGGATCTCAGCAGCCGAGGCGTCGGCGTCGGTTCTCCCTCCTTCCTTCCTTCCACCTCGCTTCGCCCGCCGGGTCTTGCGGCTGGGGCTGCCTCTCCCCAGACGCGCACGGACGCCGCGGGCGGAGGAGAGCGCGCTTAGCTGGGATGGCAGCGGGTGCCGCGCGGGGCTGAAGCCGGAGCGGCGCCCGCCATGGCCAAGCAGTACGACGTGCTCTTTCGCCTGCTGCTCATCGGGGACTCGGGCGTGGGCAAGACCTGCTTGCTGTGCCGCTTCACCGACAACGAGTTCCACCCTTCGCACATCTCCACCATCGGTACGCCGGGGCGGGTGGGGAAGGAAGAGAAGTCGGGGGGGGGGGGAATCTGCCAGCCTGGCCTCTTCCACCGTCTCCACCGGGAGCGGGGACAAAGGCGGAGGAGGGCCGCCCTCGAACAAGAGGGAGCCGCGGCGACTCCTTCGTAGGGCATCATCGGGGTCCCGGCTGGAGGGAGGGAGACCTCGTGGGTCACATTTGCGGCCTTGGGGGCATCGCCGCTGGACTGGGGAGGAGGGGAGGGGAGGGGTGGCTGGGTTGCATCGCGCGTAAAGACACTGCGTCTTTGGCACGGATTAAGATGACTGTACCTGCACAGTTGCCCATAGCAAGCCCCGAGAGGGAATCGCCCCGGGCGATTCAGATCTGAGGCTCAGGCTCCCTGAAGCAAAGCTGACACCCTCTTACTAAGGCAGGGATCGCGAAAAGCGCCCCTTCTCCCCGAAATCCCGGTCCCCCCCCTTCTGTGCCTTTGCTTCCAGTTACCTGTTGTTAGATGCTGCACCAATACTGGGCCTTGGCTCCTGCGTTGCCTGTGTTGGGAGCTAGTTTTTGTTCAATAACCGCCCGGCTCTCCTGTCACTGTAAATGTTGCTGCTGCTGCTGCTGCTGCTGCTGCTGCTGCTGCTGCTAAATGCAGTAATGCCAGCTCACCTCAAAGGTGAAAATAAATGCGACGTCATTGTTCGAAAATATGAGGTAGGCATAACACCGTGAGTCATATGGGGGTGGGGAGAGGATAGAAGAGAGAAAGCCAGAGGGAAGGCAGACCCGTTTTGCTTTCTGAAATCCCCAGTGGTGGCTATGCTAGTCCCAGGGAATAAAGTCGGCTCCTCATGGGCTCTTAAAAAAACAGCCCTCTGAGAAGTCCTACCTGAGCCTAAACCCATAACGTGGAATATGCCTGTTTCTTTGGAGCATCTGCTTTTTTGTGGGTGTTAGCAGGCACATATGTGTGCTGAGAATCTGGAAGCAGCTACTGTATGAGCCCGGTCTATTTTTAGACACAGGAGTGACTTGTGGGAGCGTGCTGGTGAGCTCAGAACATAACACGCAACGCATCCTTAAGAGAGACTAAACATTGGCTGTGCCCCGTTTTACTGAGTGATGTGCAGGGCATATCTGAAGTGGCCAAGAGCAGATGATAGGATAAACTGGGGTTTTAGCTGCATGTAGTACCAGGCTTTTATATTTTGCATTTATATTCCACCTTTTCTCCAATGAGCTCAAGGCAGTAGAGATTTTTGGGTGGTTTCTTTTTGCTTTTGGGGTTTAGTTGGTTGGGAAAGACATTACCTGCTCCCCCCACCCCCGTTTTATTTATTGGGAGTGTAGGTGTTTTGGCCAGTTGAGGGGCAGTTCTGAGCATCACCAGTTTTTCTTCTGTGAAATGGGTACTTTATTGTGTGTTTGACAGTTTCTTAGATTTCAGAATATGCCCTTGCGCCCCAAAAAGGTTGGGGACCCCTGCCATGACAGCTGCACCACACTAGCTCCAATGGTTTGCCTTCACTGTTGGACCCAGTGTGCCTCTGGATACCAGTTGCCGGAAACTGCAGGTGTGGAGAATGCTGCTGCACCCGGGTCCTGCTTGTTGGCTTCCTATGGTCATCTGGTTGTCCACTGTGAAAACAGAGTGCTGGACTAAATGGGCCTTGGCCTGATCCAGCAGGGCTCTTCTTCTGTTAGCTCTGTTGGTCATGAAACACATTACAGTGGTACCTCAGGTTAAGAACTTAATTCATTCTGGAGGTCTGTTCTTAACCTGAAACTGTTCTTAACCTGAGGTACCACATTAGCTAATGGGGCCTCCCGCTGCTGCTGCACCGCTGCTGCACGATTTCTGTTCTCATCCTGAAGCAAAGTTCTTAACCCGAGGTACTATTTCTGGGTTAGCGGAGTCTAACCTGAAGCGTCTGTAACTCGAACCGTCTGTAACCCGAGGTACCACTGTAAATAAAAAGGGACCTTTTAAAACATGAATGGAGGTTCCCAGAGAATGACCTCAGTCAGGCCCCACAGTTCTGAAATTAGGCACAAAGCTTTCATCTCAGAAGGTGTGACTACTAGCGTGCCTTTCATTTTTAGAAATGTAGCGAACATCCAAAAATAACTTGTAGAGCGTGCAGGATTTTTTTGGGTGGTGGTGAGATAATGAAGCGTTGCCTGAAATGTGGTAAAAGAAGGCTGTGGCTGAGCTTCCCCACCTGCCTCTGACTACGCCTGCCGAGGGCAACATGTTGATGTTTTCCTGTAGAAACCATTCGCTTCTACCATTGTGCTAGGCATGCATAACCTATAGCAGGGGTGGGGAGCATTTTTTTCAGTCCAAGGGCCACATTCCCTTCTGGGCAACTGTCCAGGGGCCACATGGCAGTGGATGGGGCCAGAGCCCAAGGTGGGTGGAGCAACGAAAGCACATTTTACATCTATACAATAAGTTAGTTTGTACACACACTTATGCACACACTTCTCTATCCTCCACCCAGGCAAGCAAAAGGCAATGCAGGTTTTCAAGGACACATTCCAGGCAGTCAAAAGTATTCAAGGAAAGGGTTAGGGGTGTGGCCTGGGGAGAGAAGGTGCCATATAGAGAGGTGTGATTGGCTGCATTTGGCCTCTGGGCCTGAAGCTCCCCAGCTATGGCTCGATTCCTCAGGCGTGCATTCAGTGGCTGGCAGCCTGAGAAGAAAGCTGCTTTGGGGCATGTCCATATTGACACAACTCCATCTGAAAGAGCTCTGTAGCCCATATCAGGCATAGGACTTGCAAGTAAGGCCAACATGCACGTGGGGGGGGGAGGGTTGGGCATTAGTATTGAAGCTATTAATTTCAGATTTGAGTATTTGGTCAGTTTGCAAGCTTATGATGGAATTGATCTGGAAAGTGAGAAGTCCCCATTTTCCTCCATCATCCCATCTGTTTGGGACTGATGGGTGTTGAAGTTCTGTAGCGTTGGGGTGGAGGACACAGGTTTCCCATCCCTGCCATACACTGAAGAATTGCATGTTCCAGTATTTAGCTTTCTGGCTAATAAGTTACTTTCCTATCATGGTCTATTTTAGGAAATAGGATGAAATTCCCCTTGCTTCCTGTTTAATTGCTTTTGTAGTCAGTAGTCAAGAAAAAAATGAATTGGGATTTTTAAAAGAGTAATTACAGAAATTTGCACCAGAAAATTTTCAGTTTGCATTGGAAAACATTCATTTGCTCTAGAGAGTGGTCTAAGTTAGCAAGTTTAAAAAGGTAAAGGTACCCCTGCCCGTACGGGCCAGTCTTGACAGACTCTGGGGTTGTGTGCCCATCTCACTCAAGAGGCCGGGGGCCAGCGCTGTCCGGAGACACTTCCGGGTCACATGGCCAGCGTGACAAAGCTGCATCTGGCGAGCCAGCACCAGCGCCGCACACGGAAACGCCGTTTACCTTCCCTCCAGTAAGCGGTCCCTATTTATCTACTTGCACCCGGGGGTGCTTTTGAACTGCTAGGTTGGCAGGCGCTGGGACCGAGCAGCAGGAGCGCACCCTGCCGCGGGGATTCGAACCGCTGACCTTTCGATTGGCAAGCCCTAGGCGCTGAGGCTTTTACCCACAGCGCCACCCGCGTCCCAAGTTTATATTACTAGTATTTAGTAAACCAACCTAAAATCATTGACACTGCCAAACTTGCATAATATTTGTTTGCAGTTGGCACCCATTGTTACTAGCAAACTTATGAAAAGGAAAATTGTCCGTACAGAAATAAAGCTCTGGTTTTCAAAAGCTTTCTTGGAACTGCTGGTGCTAAGAAAGCAAGGTTTTCTGCTTAGTCCCATGATTTCTTGTAAATCATGCTTTTCCGAATTTCACCCAATTCCTCACTCGTGATATGTATTTGCATCCATATGTTACAGAATCTCTCCTCTCTTCTGCTCCTCCAGTTGCTTAATATCCTCCAATAAGTCACTGATTCTTCTAGTAACTTATCTGGCCAGTCAGCAGGCTTTAAGCTTTATTACAATTTGTAGAATCCTGAGGGTCACCAACTGAAGCCAAGTGTAAAATAGTTCTTCAGGAAGGCAGACACGCATTAAGAATCAAGCACATATTCAGTCCAGGGCAAAAATTCATTCCTGGTTTCTTTGTTCAAGCCCTTTAATTTAGCGAGGGAAGCCTTTTAGTTGTTGCTATCGTCAAACAATTGAGAAACACTTACTGATCTACTGCAAAACACCCAGAGATCTACCAAGTGGATCGTGGCCTACCTTCTACCTAATGCTGCTGTTGTCCAGTGTACCATGGGAATAATGGTAGTAAACAAGAATGGCCACTTCCACGTCCAGGGTGTGCCCTAACTACCCCATTTGTAGGCTTGTAGCAAAATATACTACTCACAATGGTGTTCACTCAGGGAGATTACCTCCTCTTACCAGGGGTGGCTCCACCAGATATTTGTAGGACTCCCATCAGTCCCAGCCAACATGGCAATGGTAAGGAATAATAGGAGTTGTAGTCCATCAACATCTGGAGGGCCACAGATCCCCCACTCTGCTTTATAGGGGGAAATCAGGTATTAAATGGTCTTCATTCAGGTGAGTAGGCAGTGAAGACTATCACTAGGTTGGGTTTTCAGCCCCCACTTCCCTATTCTCCTGAGATGGGACATTAGGAGGGTTGCGGAAGAGTGGAGTTAAGTGCCCTCTCTTGAAAAGCTTGTTCTTCGTGTGACCTGCTGCTTAGATCTGCTTGAACATAAACCCACTCAGGTTGACCATGGCCGGTTTTAGCCAGGTAGCTTGTATGTATGAATAGCTATGTAATGGGATATGTTCCTCCTAGAGTTTATATTTTCTCCAGCAGTGGACCATTTCCAAAACAGTCCTGTTCTCCCACACGGTGACGCAAGCACACAGTCCTCATCTGCGTTAAGTTAATGAAGTTCTCATTGTGACCACAGAGCGAGTAGAAAATGCCTTGCGGAGTACAAAGGATCACTTTCAACTTGTTCCTGCTTGGTGAATCGTGCACGATATGTGAGTCACCCTCAGAAAGCTACACAATTTTCTGAGGAGAAAATAAACTTAATCTTGGATCAGGGAGCTTTTTGTGTGTGTGCAGAATGCAAGGCTTTGTTTTGCTGGATCAGGCCAAGTGTCCATCTAGTTCAGCGATCTGTCTCCCAACAGGAGCTAGCTGGGTTCTGGAGGAAATTCATAAGCAAGGCATGAGGGTCACCGTCCCTTTTGGTTTGCAATCAGTTTCTGATAATTAGAACTATACAGCCTCTTAACATTTATTTCTCACAGTTAACAACTACTGGTAGATGTAGGAACCTGCCTCACACCAAGGGAGACCACTGGTCCACCTACCTTGGTCTTGCCTTCTCTACCCTGATAGGCAGCACCTTTCCAGGCTTTCAGATGGGGCACTTCCCTCAGCCATGTCTGAAGATGCCAGCAATTGGACCTGGGGCCCTTTCCATGCAAAGTACCTGCTCTCCCATTGGGCCACTGCCTGTTCTGTAGCCTCTAACCTGCCCAATCATGGATCTAAAAACTGTTGTCTTATGCATTCACTTCTGGGTTTGATTGCCACAGTTTCTTAAGCTATGGCTGACATGAAGAAGGCCTCATGAAAGGCTTATAAAGCTGGTACTCTCAAGCAGCTCTACCCTGCCCTGCAACCAGAAGAATGGCAAACTCAGATGAGAAATATTTAAAGGCAGCAGGTAGGCGCTGCTTTGTTTGGGCATATGCATTACTGCTGAGGTGTTTTGTTAGCCAAGCTTTATTGCACTGTGGCACACCACCTTGGAAAGACGGGTTGCGTAGGAAGCTGTGTGCAGCTTTGGTGGCATTTATCTTGCAGTCCCCTGTGCTGCTGAAAGGTACCTGCTTCTTCAGCAGTGTGGGCAAGCAGCTGCAGTAGAAACTTCAAAGAAACACAGAGTCTTTGGTGCTTTCTGCCTTTGCTGTCTGTCTGCAGAGAACTGGGGAGTTGGGCTGTTGTTCTGATACGAGGAGAAAAGGCTTCAAAAGAATCTAGACCGGATCACAGATAAGTTGAAGTTGCACAGCCTACTAAGGTTAGATCTCCAATCTCTGACAAAATGAAGGTGAATTCTCTAGTACTTTCCCATGGTTTCTTTCATGGGTATGTTCCCTTTCTTGTCCTGTTTTTATACTATTTTACACACACTTACACACACACACACACACACACACACTCACTCACACACACACCATGGCTTGGCTCAGCATGCAAAGGCAACGTATATTAGATTGTATAGTAAACTATTCCTTTATGACCCACATTGGCCTAGACCAGAGGTGGACAGCCAGCGCCCCTCCATATGTTGTTGGACTCCAACTGTCATCAACCCCACCAATGGCCAGGCACAGCTCTGGGATGGAAATAGCCTTGATCACCCTGGTGGATGATGTGCTCTTGAGGAAGGATGGAAGGAGTGCTACCCTGTTAGTATCGAAAGCCAGGAATGCTTTCACCCATAGTATCCTTCTGGGTCAACTATTGGGTATTGGACTTTGTGGACACTTTATTACTTTTGTTCTTGTTGTTCCATGATGGAAGTTCTCAGGTGATAATGTTGGGCAACCGTGCCCTATGGCTTTCAGGCTGCCCCAGGGCTCTGTTTTGTCTTCCGTGCATTTTAAGAGCTGCATGAAGCTACTGGGAGAAGTCATCCAAAGGTTGATGACATGGAACTCTGTCTTTCTTTTCCATCTTCTGATATCAGGTTTTAGAAACTCTAAACTGATGCCTGGAGGCAATTCTGAGATGGATGAGGGCGAACAAGCAGAGGTTACGGTAAATCCTGGCAAGGCGGAGGTGCTGTGGGCTGGGATATCCCCCAGATGAAGTTCTACTTTCCCTAAAACAGTGTTTCCCAACGGTGTTCCGCGGCACACTAGTGTGCCGCGGAACGTTGCCTTGTGTTCCGTGGGAGGGAGGCGGGCGAGTCGGGCGGCGAGAGGCGGGGCGGCGGCGGCGAGCACACGCGGGGCGGCGAGCGAGCTCCCTCCCACATCCCATCGCCGCTCGCTTCGGCCGGCCTACTGGAGGAAGGCGCGAAAACCTCGCGCATGCGCAGGCCTTCCGCCTGCGACAGCCCAGTAGGCCGGCCAAAGCAAGTGGCGATGGGATGTGGGAGGGAGCTTGCTCGCCGCCCCGCGTGTGCTCGCCGCCCGACTCGCCCGCCTCCCTCCCACGGCACACCAGCCTACCTCCGTGGGAGGGAGGCAGGCGAGTCGGGCGGCGAGAGGCGGGGCGGCGGCGGCGAGGAGAGGCCGCCCAGCGCGGGGCTCTCGCCGTCTGCCTGCCTGGCTGCCTGCGAGCTCGGCGGGCAGCGCTTCCGCCCGCAGCGCCTGCCTCGCGGCTCTCATTCCCTGCCCCTGCCAAAGCTCACCCAGCCAAGCCGCGCTCTCCTTCCTGCCTCGCTTTGCTGCCTCCTCCCCCCCCCACCCCCAAAGCTTGGAGGTTCCCCGGCAGGAAGGAGGGAACTTAATCCTCTCCAAGGGCTGCGGAAAACAGACATGCAAATGGGGGCTTGCCAGCTCTTCAAGTGCTGCCGGCTTTCTTCGGGAATTACCGCCCGCCGAGCCCGGTAACGCTGACAGGCCGAGCCGCGGGGCTTGGCAGCGCAGCCGGCAGAGTGTGGGAAAGGGCGGCCGCCACGCGCCGGGCAAGGCGAGACTCGACGGGGAGGACACCGGCAGCAGCGCCCCCCCCCCCCCGAAACCCGCTCCGGGCAGGTAATTCACAGAAAGTGGACAGAAGGAAGCCTTAAAGGGCTTCAGCCTCCCAGAGTGGCGGGGAATAATAATAATAATAATGATAATAATAAAATTGACAGGGGGTGTTTTTCTAGGTGAGGGGGTGGACACTGTAATAACAAAAAAATCAGCTCTATATCAACCGCTGTTTTGCAATGAGGAATTGCAAATAAGGAAGATCAAAAGGAGAATGTTTTTTGGGGGGGACTCTCTTCCTTTTCCTCTTCCTCCTCCTCCTCTCGTTCTTGCTCCTCTTCCTGGCAAAAGGGCTGCTGAGACCCCTTCTCTCTTGGGTGCCGGTGGGTGCTGTGACGTTGACGCTGCTGTGGCAAGTGCCTTTACTTAGCAGAGTGCATTCCCCTTTACACAGGAGGGGAGGGGAAAAAATTGAAACTTACACTTTCGTGCGTCCCTCCCGGCGCGACGCTGCGCGCTGACGTCACGGGCCTGTAATGGTGGTGTGCCTCGAGATTTTTTTCATCAAACAAGTGTGCCTTTGCCCAAAAAAGGTTGGGAAACACTGCCCTAAAAGACCCAAGTCCGCATTGCAAATGCTGCTGGCTTAGGTGCTGAATAGTGAAGCCCAAGTAGTGTCGGTAGCTAGGGTAAGATTCCAGACATCCCTGTTTCCCATGGACAGTCCCCAGATTTACAAATCAGTCCCCTGACAAAATTCATCTATTTTGTAGTAAGTTGAAAAGTGTCCCCGGATTCATTGAAAAAATATATATGGTAACCTTAAGCTAGGGGTGTGTTTCAGTTGGTCTGCCAATGGTGGCCATTTCTGCAGAGGACAAAATTAGCCACAGTGATCTATTTCCAGACTAGACACAGATAAGGCACTCTGCCCGGGGTTGCCTTTAAATAGTGTCTAGAAACTTCAGCTGGTCCAGAAGGCAGTCGCCATAGTCCTGATGGGTATACTGTTGTCAACGTCAACAACATCTACATTATAGCAAGTATACTGGCTTTGTAGACCCATTTTAAAGGGCTGGTTTTAAACTTTTAAGCCCTAAAAGGTTTAAGCTGTGAGCTGTCTGGCAGCAGCTGTGACATCTTGCCCACACACTGAGACCTCAACCAGAGGCCTGCTTGGTGTGTTCACCCCATAGTTCTGTGAGATTGGTGACCATCAGAGTGAGAGCACTAGTTTGAGTTGATTAAAATGAGCTCTGCCTAGCTACTGACTCAGCTGCTGTAGTGTTATGGAGTTTGTATGAATATGTCAACTGCTCAGAAGTTTAAAAGAACTGTCAGCGCTCTATGGCAAGCTGCTGGTGAGAAGGAGTTCAGCAGAGAAGGGAGGATCCAGCTCCTTAACAATGGTGATATACTCTTAGATTGTGTGTGTGTGTGTGTGTGTGTGTGTGTGTGAATGTTGTTTACATATTCACATAGTGGGGTGGATATGGGAAGAAATTCAATGTAGCACCATGGCATTGGTTCCGTCAGTGCAAGCATTTCAGCTCATCAGATGGAATGATTCCCCCCCCCTTCCCCCAAGCACTGTTCTGGGGGAATCTATCAAGCCCCCTAAGAGCCAATTTTTGGATGGGGGGAAGCAGTGTTGCGCTAGTGGAAGGACTTGCACAATCTTCTGCTAGCGGGACTCCATTGAATCAAGCCCAAGGAAGATGTTGCACGTGAGGAACATGTACATGGATATTTGTGGGTCTCCATATATATGTTCTAAACATCACATAACCTAATTACACTCAGCAGAATCTACTGGGTAGGGATGGAGTCGCCCTTGTAACTTATCTTTTGCTTTTGTTATTCACAGGAGTCGATTTTAAAATGAAGACTATAGAAGTAGATGGCATTAAGGTCCGAATACAGATCTGGTAAGTGATTTTAGCTATTGCAATGTAGATCTTCGGACAGAGAGCTGAACTCTGGATCTGGGAGACCAGATAAGAGTTCCCTGCTGTGAATACATTTTGAGAACTTTGGCGAGTTGCCCATTCTCAGCCTCAGTTCCTTTACCTGTAAAATGGGAATGGCAAGTAACTCAGCCAGCAAGATTGCCATAAAGTGAACATGCAGAGAGATTGTAAAGCACTCTGCAGATGAAGTACTTGGTAAATTATCAAAAGTAGCATGGAATCAATAAGTGGTTATTGAACACCATCCGCAAAGAGAGGTCCAGTAGGACTGAGAGGGAGATGCCATTTGGGTTCCTGGGCAGTAATGTAACAGGCTGTTATATACCATGTGTGTAGTGTAGCCTTTGTGTGGTTGCCTGAATGGGGACTGGGTCTGTTTTTCGGGGTGTGGATTAAAGCTCCATGCCTAAACTGCAACAGAGGCCATTTTAAACTACTACTATTGTTGTTATTTAGAAACACATACTTCTCTCTTTGAGGTAGTTTTAGTACCTACCCCAGCACCACTGGTGCTTTATCCTGTTTTCATGCAATAGAAGGGGAGTGGCTTTGACCCAGGAAGTTTTCCACTTTATGGTGCTGGTTTCTATTGGGGGGGTGAAATACTGGGGTGGGGTCTTAGATAGCATTCAAATAACTAATTAAAAATAAGTCTTTTTTAAATGGGACATGGTTGCTTTGTTGTATGTCAGCATGAAAATAATGATACATCTTTCTGGGAAGACCCTAGATGTGATTATCTTGACAGGAGCAGATTTAAAACTGCCCAGCAGGGAGCAGCCAAATTGCATAAACCTCCATAGCTGAAGTGATCCTGTGTGTTCTTGGGTGCCTGTACTGCAAGGAAATTGCCTTGTGACAATATTAGTGACGATGACCATTTGTGGATCAAAGAGCAAGTCGGTCATAAGATGATACTGCAGAGCAACAATTAGTCATGCTTTATGACAACTTGACTGCAGTTTAGCACAAATCTGCTGTTTGGGCTTGTCTTCTGACGTGGCAGAAAGTCAAGGCTGCATGTTAGGAAGTGTGTTTGGCAGCTACTTTAGCAGGGGTGAGGAGGAGGAGTTTGTGTAATGTTGAGAACTGCTCCTGGCTAGCCCATCGCTCACTTTGCATAATACAGAGGGTGATTTGGGATAATGGGGCCCAGTCCATTACATCAGCTGAGGCCAGTTACCATTTGGCTCCTCTTCTCCCTGAACTATTTCTGTTCCAGCTGGTCACTCTAAGAACTACCATGTAACTCTTAAAGAACTGATGCCCAACTTTTCTTATTTTCCTCTTCCTTTTTCCTCTTGCATCATGGATTTTAGTTTGCAAGCCTGTGGGTAGTGGCTCTTTTGTTCTTTAATCACTTTGGAAACGATTAGCAGAATCCCAACAGTGCACAAGGAGACCTCAGCTTGCACAACAGGACTTCGCCTTCCTCTCCTCTCCTTGCAGCCCCTTCCCCCCTGCCCCATGCCAAAATCTGCTCTGGAGCTTATCCCAACCCTCCAGTGCTGATTTTGCAGCAGGGAGGAGAGGATGGTGAAGTCCTGTTTCATAAGCAGAAGTCTGTTCCACTCACTCATGGGCAGCGCTGGATACAACCCAATAGCTGATGATAATAATTCCCTTGTCCATGTGAGCGCCAACTCTGCTGCAGTCCAGATGGATCATGTGGATAAAAATTGCAGTGCATGCCCCTCAGCCTGTGTGTAACTTGGAGCAACTCTAATGACGCCTGCTTTTGTTCCAGGGACACTGCAGGTCAGGAGCGATACCAGACCATCACGAAGCAGTACTACAGGCGAGCCCAGGTAAAACTGTTTTCTCCTAGACTAGAAGTAGTACAAAAAGCATGGAGAGACCTGGGAAGGACTAGCTGGCTTTTGCAGGAATTGTCCCAGCATTGGTCTCGGTGCTATTTCTCTGACATCTTCATCTGTTGCCAGAGATGCAAGCATAGTGTAACCAAAATCCATGGAGGTGACCTGACAGAGGTGGACATTCTCTCCATTTTTTGATATTGAGTGGAATTAAACATCGTGCTAAGGAGATCGTCCTGCTGAATTGAATCTCGCCTCCCTTTCACCCATGCACTATTCTGGGGGTTTTCCCTACCCTCCAAAGCAGAATTGGGGGGGGGGCACAGGGAGAGGAGGGATAATATTGTTGCACCAGTGGATCTTGTTGCAGTAGCTTCTGCAAGTGCAACAACTTAGTTGAATCCAGACCATAAGTTCCTACTTGGAGACAGACACAGAGACACACACAACTTTGGGGCTAATGCTGGCAAAGGTTAGCACTGGAACACAGAAAGGGTCCCAACATTAAACCTCAGCTAAATTGAAAGGCAGTAAGCCAGCAGTCCCAGGTTGGGGATGTCAGATGGCCTCGAGGGCTGAAGACAAGCTGCATACTTTAGGATTTCAGTGTTACTGATGCTATCTTGGTGCATAAAATGCAGTGATGTTGGCCCATGAGAAAGCAATCCAAAAATCCACAGATTGCATGCAGCCTCCCCCACGCAGCCTCTGCCTGTAGGGTGGGCAGAGTGGGAGGAGGCAAGCAGACTGATAATGCTCCACGGGAAAGGCGCTGGCTGCAGCGATTGAAGATATCTCTCCCCTCTGCGCCTTTCCCATGGGGCAGAGGCTGTGTGTGTGACCTGTTTTGTCTTTGCGCAGCTCCATTTGTGTGCGGGCGGCGCAACGTTACACAGAAGGAGCGCAAGGTGCGATGTTTCACTGATGTTAAAGGCACGGCGGGGGGGGGATATTACGTCAATCGCCGCGCTCCTCCTATGTAACGTTGTGTCACCTGCACACAAATGGAGTTGCACGAAGACACTGCACGGCAAAAACGGACTGCCTACAGCCTCCCTCCCTGCTGTAGGGCGGGCAGAGTGAGAGGAGGCAAGCAGACTACAGAGGCCCCACAGCTTGCCCCACCAGAAGCTGCAACTGCTAGAGCAAGTTCCTTATTTATTTATTTATTTATATATTTATTTGCTATATTCTGTGGATAAGACAACCCATGTTTTTAGACCTAAAAAATTGGGTAAAAAACCTCGTCTTATAGATGGAAAAATACAGTAAATGTTGTGCCCCCCAACTACTGCCTGTAGGTCACCTGTTGCCTGCCGCTTGATGCCCTGAGCCATAGTGGTGCTAGATCTCTGAGACATGAAGCCTAGTTTATAAGGAGTGTTTAGTAAAACTGCAGCCAAAGAAGCCTACTGTATATCTGCAGGGAATGCAGACTGATTAGCCAGGTCCCCAGGGGGAAAGACTGACATATTCATTAAACAGTTGTCTGTTATCTAGTATGGTGGCCGCCTGCTCTGTAACAATCTTGTAGGAACAACTGTCAAAACACAAATGCTTTTGGTTTATCGGTAGTAGTTAAAGGCCATATCTGCCATGAAGGTTTCACAGTGAGCTTGGCCTACATGCAGATGCATGCAGAATCTAACAGGACAGAAGAAAGAATAATCCCCAAATGTCTAGTTCCTCTTCTTCAACCCTCCAGCATAATTCCTGGGCAGAGGGTGCATAGGGAATGTCCTATTAAATTAAGTTACACACACACACACACACACACACACACACACACACACACACCTTCCCTGTAAGTAGAAGTCATTTCACCTTTGGGTTTATGTTGCACGTTTTACTCCATTCTGTTTTCTTGACCTGGTTCTCTCCCCAGGGGATATTCTTGGTGTACGACATCAGCAGTGAGCGCTCATACCAGCACATCATGAAATGGGCCAGTGATGTAGATGAGGTAAGCGAGGAGGTCTCCCTGCTTCTTCCCCCTATTGTTGGGGACTGTTGGCCCCAGTGTGGGAGAAGTTGCCATGGCAAAATCGGATGAACTGCTCCTGCTCAAGGCCTGTGTGTGTATATACATGCACTCTCTTGTCTTGAGAAGCCTTGTTCAAACAGAGAAATAGCATGTTTGGCTTAGGTGCTTGGTTTATCTAGAGATTGTAGGATTAAAATAGCCTTGGGAATTCAACGGACACTCCGGATGTCCTTGAAAAAGGCATAACACTTTTGGGGTGTCCTTATTTCCTGTAAAAGGACTTATACCTTGTGGAAGCTCCTCAGTATTTAGCAAGTGCTAACTAGAAGATTATGCAGGGGCTAGAAGAACATCTAATAAACCTTAACCGTGTTTTAAATCTGAGCTGTATTATGCCATCTCTGCTGTGACAAAAGACTGTTCTTTCTTTTTTAATAATAACTATTATGTTGTTTTGCATGTAAAGCATCCAGTGAATATTTATTGATAGATGGCTATGTATATAAATGTAATAATAAATAAAATACACTGCTGTTGAATAACTGGTGGAGGCATCTTGGATACTGCCAGGGTGCTAACTTTGTGTCCTTGTGCACATACATTCTGCCTTCACACTGTTAGGGAATTTTTATAAATTAGCCTTTGCCAGGTTGGTGCCCTCCAAATGTGTTGAGACTACAACTCCCATCAGCCTCAGCCAGTTCTGGGGTTGATGAGAGTTGTGGTCCAGAACACCTGGAGGCACTGGGCTGGTGAAGGTGGTGCCCATTTTTGCATGGTGACTCTTAACACTCTGCCACAACTGGCACTGAAGTAATCTGCTGCTTTTGCAGTGAACTTAACGGGGAGATGAACAGGTCTGGGCTGAAGGAGATTCTGTTGGGCATGTGCGATCAACTCTGTTGGCCCCTGGGTTTGGGGGGATTTTCTAGCTGCCCTGTTTATTTGATTGGCTTTGGTCTGTGGAAGCCTTGTTTTCTGTAAGACCATCCTGCGATTCTTTTAATTGCTTTGTTAAGATCAGAAATGTGTTGGGTGCTGCCATTTTCCAGATGTTTGTGTCGCAGTGCTGGAAGAAGCCATTTGCTATGAAAATCTCTGCCCTGTGCAACAGTTAAAAGGCAACAGGAATGGTGCATTTGACAATCCCAAGTCTCAACAGTGCGGTACAGCTCAGCTTTTAACTATGCTGCTTCTAATCTGTGCTGATTGGGAAGGGCTAAAGTCTCTCCCTTCTCTCCAGTATGCCCCAGATGGCGTCCAGAAGATCCTCATTGGGAATAAAGCAGACGAGGAGGAGAAGAGGCAAGTAGGCAAAGAGCAAGGCCTCCAGGTAAACTTCTTGGGTAGCTGCTAGTTGTTCTCCTTTGAGACCTAAGCCTCACTCATAGCAGATGATATAGTAAAACTGACAGTGCCAGGTGGGTCAGACCATCTACACTGCATAGGGTCTCAGACAGGGCTCCCTCATAGCCCTACCTGAAGACGCCAGGGATTGAACCTCAAACCTTCTATATGCAAAGCAGATGCTCTGCTACTGAGCTGTTTCTGTTCACTCAGGCCTTGTAAATAACGATGTGGTCTGGGCCTCTCTGTTTTTTAATCTGTTTTAACTTTGGCGGTGCAGTGAGTTCTGCTTTCGTTGTATTTATGTTTGTGCTTTTTATTTAAATGGTTTTATGTTTTAAATGGTTTTTGTAATTATTAAGTGTGAGATGCCCAGAGAACCTTGTTATGGTATGGCATACAAGTGTCCACTTGCCAGGCAGGCTGTAATGCTAACCAAGGGCCTGGTCAATGGCAGTCTCCACAGCAGCTGTACTAACCACAGGCATTTTTATATGGCTGTAGTGGCAGCCCCCTTATCCTCCATTTTCAGTGCCTTGTGGGAAACTTATTGGGCTCTGGGGAGGGCATTATTCAGGAACCTATGTTTGATTGAAGCCAACTTGTTCCACACTGTATCACTTCAAACAGCAAAGGGGGCCTCATATGTTTGGATCTTGCCCCATACACCTCCCCAACCAAATTCCTCTATATAAGACAATGGCATTGTCAGGAACCCTTCTTGCTATGGGATAGGTTCTGTTGTTGTTGTTCTTCAGAAGCACATGCAGTTGTGTGAGCCCCCCACATAATCTGGTATAGTCAGGAACAGGTTGATTGCCTCATCCGCTGTGGGTGTGAACCAGGCCAGAGTCTGATCTAGAAAACTAGATGGTAGGAGCAGTTAAATTTTGTCAACGTCCAGGAACTTGTGGAAATGGGTTCTGGAAGCTGGTTTCCTTCTGGCATAGACAAGCTCTGTTCTACAGTGTTTCCGGGTCACTGTTTATATTAGAGATGGCACTGGGGTCTGCAGCTGTACTTCATTCTACTAGTTTTCCAGCCCTGGTTAATCAGAGAGAGACGCTGTGCCTGTAACAGTGCTCTATTTTCCCCATTCAGAAACTTCAAATGTTACCTAGCCTGTTTTTTTAAAAATAATACAAGTTATCTTCTCAGTCTTGGAGGTGGTGATGTAAGAATGTTCTAGTTTCTTCAGATCTATCTGTACAATCTATTGACAGTCACTATTATACCTGTATGTAAAGCTGTCGGAACTTCTGTCTTCCAGCTGGCCAAGGAGTATGGCATGGATTTCTATGAAACAAGTGCCTGCACCAACGTAAACATCAAAGAGGTAAGAACTCTGCATATGGAACTTCCAGGTGTCTGGTGCTTTGCAGCCAGTGTATCACCTTTGCAGAGCAAGTGGAGATACAGAACAAAAGAGAGTTCATGGTGGAAAATCCTTGGGCTCACCTGTAGTTTTTGACCATAGCAGCCAGTAGGCACCTCACCTTTGGGAGGGAAAGCAAAGTTGCACTATATATTGTTGCAAAATAACATATATAATTTATTTAATCTCAGAAGTACTTACACTTACATATGGTGGTATATCTGGATTCACACACCCTCACCTACTGTAGCCTTTCGTGCCATATCCCATATCTGTTCTGGATGGTCTCTAAACCCTCAGGAGTGGGCTACAGTGGGCAGCAGAATTGGCAAAAATGGGATCCATTGGATACGCCCCTATGTGTGATAATGTTAGCAGTTAGTGTCAAAACTCATACATAGATGGAGCAGGAGCCCACTGCTGATCTCAGTGGGACATATTTAAGATTGCATATAACTCTCCTGCTTAAAACTGGATTGTAAGTTGATTCTTGCATGTAGCAAATAAAAATTGCCACCAAGTGGGAAACCAAACTGAAAGTTTGAGAAGTAGTTTTTTGGTTTTTTTTTAAAGGTAAAGGTAAAGGTACCCCTGCCCGTACGGGGTTGTGCGCCCATCTCACTCAAGAGGCCGGGGGCCAGCGCTGTCCGGAGACACTTCCGGGTCACATGGCCAGCGTGACAAGCTGCATCTGGCGAGCCAGCGCAGCACACGGAAACGCCATTTACCTTCCCGCCAGTAAGCGGTCCCTATTTATCTACTTGCACCTGGGGGTGCTTTCGAACTGCTAGGTTGGCAGGCGCTGGGACCGAGCAACAGGAGCGTACCCCGCCGCCGGGATTCGAACTGCCGACCTTTCAATCGGCAAGCACTAGGCACTGAGGCTTTTACCCACAGCGCCACCCGCGTTTTTTTTAATCTACCTCAAATGTCTAAAACATTTAGACATGTGCACCCAAGCACACTAGTAAATACATTGTGGGCTAGTAACTTGTGTAGACTTGTTTGCTGATCTAAAGCTATGTACTAAACCTCACTTTTTAAAAAACAACAACAACAACAACGCTCATCTCTTTCAGTCTTTCACTCGTCTGACAGAGCTGGTCCTGCAGGCCCACAAGAAGGAGCTGGACGGACTCCGCACGTATGCGGCTGATGAACTGAACCTGGTTGAGCTGGAGGAGGAGGCAAGCAAGCCAGAGGGCACAGAGCACTCCCCCAAGACCTGCTGGTGCTGAAAGCCTCCCAGTGCTCTTCCTTTTCTTCTGTCCCCCAGTGCAGGCAGAGAGGCTGCCACCTAGAGAGGGCTCCATCTCTTTGGTCTCTGGTTGCCTGCCTGCCTGCCTGCCTGCCTGCCCACTCTCTGCCCTGCTGGATCCTCTTTGGATTTCCTGGTGTTTCTCCTTGATTGGTGATTTCTGTTGTTCCCCCAAACTCCCTGGATCCAAATCTCTCTTCGGGGGGGCTCACAATATGCAGAACATCACCCCGCCACCTTTGCGGAAGAGCTGTGGTTGGCGATCGCAGCAGCCGAGGCCCATTCAGCAGCCTCTCAACCTCCAGGTGCTCTGCAGCCTTGCCCTTTTCCAGGGGGCAGCTGAGCCGGTTGGGTTCTGTGCCTGGGTGCAACTAGGCCTGTCCTCTGAGAACAGGGCGCTCAAGGAGGGAGGAATGTCCCGCTTCATTCACTCTCCTCCAGACAAACCGTTTGCTTGCACACCCTCAATAGCAGGCCTGCTGAAGGCTTGTCCGTTTGTGTCCGCCCCCCGCCCCCCATACATTGCCTTGCCATTTCAGCATCTGCCCTAATGCCTGCACAGCTTTGTGCAGGGTTGTGGCTTTGCAGCTGTATTGGATACAGTGTCTTGTACATACCTGGCTGCCTGGAGGTTGTTGTTTAAAAAAACCTCTCACCATGGCACCTCGCCAAATTGGGGCTTATTCCAAAGTGCGCAGTGGCATCTCTTGCCCTGCTAAGTGTAAGCTGCTGGGAGCAGCAAGAGTCTAGCCCTGCTGGGAATGGGGTAGGATGATGGAAATTTGGGGCTTTAAATTCAGACTCGCCTTACCAGTTGCAAAGAATGTTTGCTTCTTCCCAGGCCAAACTAGGCTCCCATTTTGTAACTCCTTGGAGCCTTGTCTTGCACACCAAGCAAAATCCTTGCCTACTATTATTTACTCGAAGATTTTTGTAGGGCATCTTTGCTTGGCTCCCCTTGGGTATCCCTGGTGGTGCAGGTACATGAGGCACCTGCTTAGCCTATATCCCTGCACCAACGGAGGCAGAGAGCCCACCCTATCTGTGTGTCACCTGTGTGGAACTGGCTTTGAGAGCCCCCTTGGAATGACTTTCCCAACTATTCACCAAAGCGCTGATATGGAAACACACTGTAATCTGTGCATAGAGCCTTCCCTCATTTGTTTCTTCCCACTCTTGAGGTCCAACCTGTAAGAAGTTGCTCAAGACCCTTTCGTGGGCTCTTTTTAGAAGTTCCTCCACGGAAGGAATTTCCTTGGAAACTCAGCCTGGTAGATTCCAGGGTATCCAATTTATTTGGTTCTTTTGCCATGTGCTGCTTAACATGGCTTGATCCAAGCAAACTGAAACCAGCCTGCCTGCCTGCATGTTGTACCAGCATCCCCCTCTCGCCTTGACATGCTTGGCGGGGGAGGCCTAAAGACACTTGGCAGTATGTCATGGTAATTCTAATCTATATGCGCCTGCCTGCTCCAGAGTAGCTGCTCCCTGCGTGCCAACACCTTGGTGGGGGGGCTAAGACTCCTTTCCCTTCCTATATACATGCCAGCAATGGGCTACATTTGCGGATCTAGAAAGGATGGGTGTCAACCAGAGGCTTTCTGGGTGGGATGGCAGTGCACAAGTCCTCCTGCTGCCTAGAGAGGCTGCCTTTGATGGAGGGGGTGGGGCTTAGGCACGATCCATTTGAGCAATAGAAAATGGTTCTTATATCCATGTGATGATCTGCCCTTCCCTAGCCAGGTCATACCAGAGAGCAGACTGATCTACATTTCCCTGCTCATTTTTCCTCTTCCTCCTCCAGTTAGTTGTTGACTTTCTCTCTCAGAGCAGATGAAAAATATTTTTACCCAGTGAAGGAGAGGAAGGATAGTAGCAGGAATAAAGTTGGCTGCACTGTGATTCTTGTCCTGAAAGCAAGGGTGCCTTGAATTTCCAAAAAAGGCTCCACTCTCAAAACCACCAGTTTTACCTCTTTCTTTGTGCTGGGTGGGTGTGAACAGGTATCAAGCCACTGGAAATGTAAGGGGGAAACATTGAAGTTCTACACACAGTGCCTGTTGTTGGCAGGAGCAGCTCTCCTGTAGCCACAGTCCCCTGGGAAGACCCCAGTCCCAGGGTCTGGGAAGAAAGAGGCACAAAGCGGCTTGACCGCAAGGGACCGCTTCCTGCAAGACCTAGTGTGAAGCTGGAGATATTGTAGACACTAATTAGAGACACACATAGCTGGTAGCCTGTTTAGTTTTTGAACTACAACTCCCACCATGCCTGACCATAAGGCCGTGCTGGTTGTGATAGTATGAGGGGAGCTGGAATCAAACAACACCTGGAGCACCAAAGCTTCCTCCCGGCCATGATGTAGTAGGACCCAAATTCTGTAAGAACAGGTGAAAATGCAAAGAAACGAGGACTTGTGAAGGTGGGGAACTAGGCATCTTTGCCCTGAGAGGAGGCATGTAGAGACTGAGGGAAATGGATGGGCCACAACAAAGGTTGATCTGATTGGTTGAGGCCTTGCTGGCTTTGGTCTGCCTAGCTTGTTAGGAGGTTGGAATGAAGACTGAGGGCCAATCCTTGCACAGAGAGTCTACGTGGCCTGTGTTGTCTTCTCACCCCCAGCCCCTGCTCCTGTTTTCTGACTGGATTGCACTGCACCCAAGGTGAATGGGCATGCTGTGAGTGCAGAAAGCAGGTTTGCACGACCACTTAAACCTACAGCGTAGAAGGCCTGTGGCAGCATGCAGAACTGCCAAGCTAAGATATAAGTGTGATGAGAAACGTGGAATAACTCACTTGGCCTGTTCTCAGTGCAACTGGGAAACAAAAAACAACAGTGGCTAGCTAGCTGCCTGCAGAGAGAGTGGTTGTCTCAGCTGGTTCCTGGCTGTCTCTTGCACCCAGTTCTTTAAAGCTCTGTTGCTAGAGCTGCCCTCAAGGGGGTCTGTCTGAAAGGATCGAAGAGAGGGATGTCATTCTGTCCCTGAAATGAGCACAGGAGGCTTCCCAGTATCTCTGGCTCTGCAAGCTAGGAGGGCCCAAAGATGTCCCCACTGTAGCTCTTCCTTGCCTGCTGCAATTCAGCATCACATCGGCGCCGCTTGCTCCACCTAGGATCTAAGACCATATCCCACCAATATAATAGAAGCTGGGCTGCTGATGCTGTTAACTATAACGCACAAACTACTAGACTCCAATGTAATCTTCACAACACACAAGACCAGAAAGGGGAACAGGTGAGGAGCTCTTTGCCTTGCTTATGGCGTGAACTGGAGTCCTTATTGTGTAGAGTCATCAATGGCCTCTTAACTGGGTTGAACTCACAAACAAGTGGTTGACGAAGCCTCTGGCTCCCAACACTGAGCAAAACGAGCCACACTAACAGTGTGCATTCTGGGTCATTAAGACAACTCTTTCAGTGCGAGAAAAGCTCCCTAATCAATGCTGATTTTTCTCTGTGCAGATTGGAGTGGTGCTCTCAGGAGGCCACAAAGTGCTTCTTGGTCTCAGGCCAGCGCTTGGGGAAGGGAGGATGAGTCTGGGAATCTAGCACTCCAGTATTCTGAGGCTGCCTCCGTCCTGTTGAGTCACGGATCATTCTGTCTGTAGCGGAAACCGTTGCATATAAACTTGTCATGGGATCCAGCCAAACTTAGAACTTTCTGAATCCTCTGCTGTGTCTGTAATTTGTGGACTTTGCACTTTGACTGGGTTTCCTTGTATGGCCTGTCATTGTAACTCATGATTTTAAACAAGAAAGATCTTTACAAAAATAAAGATTCTCAAAGTGGTTGGTGGCTGCTCTAGTTCCTTGCTGGGTGGCTAACCCAGTCCTCTGCAATGAAGAAGCTGTGTTGCTGCTAAGAATCTCACTTGAAGTGAAATCCAGGAGGTCAAACAGCAAATGCTTCCCTATGTAGAGAACACATTCAGAATAGAGCTATGTTTAATTCATGCTGCAAACGGGCTCAGTTGCACAAGAAAGGAGCCAAAGAAGCAAACCAGGGGTAGAACGGATGTAGCTTGGCGCATGCATCAGTGCAACCAGCTTTTTTCCAGGAAAATTGCAACAAGCAAGGATTAGTTCTGCCCACATGGAACCACCTGGAATTGGCAGTGTCCTGGAGTGAACATTATATGTATTTGCAGCTATTTTTGTATTTTAGCAAGGAATATAAAATCCCTCCTTCAAAAGGAGACTGCAAGAGCTCAAACTGCCTGCTACTCACTGCATCAATTTACTTGGGTGGGGAATCTGTAGTCTGCCAGATGTTTCTGAACACCTTTTGGGCCCTAGTCTGCATAGTCAGTTTCCAGGGGTGATAGAAGTTGTGGGTCAACAGGAGGACCACAGCTTAGATGTTTTCAAACAGATGCCGCAGGATAGTGGCATATTGTTAAACCCTCTATCTTTAAATCCTGCAACACTACAAATTTAGAGGAAGGAAGAGCAAACAAGTCGTCATCCAGAGTTTCATCCACACCCCATATTCTCTCAATAGAGTGAAATCATGTTGTAGGTTTTCCTACAGTAGCTACATCTACTGTTGGACAGTGGATGTTCAGAACATCAAGTTCTACCTCCTCTGGTGGAGGCATTGTGCCTCTGAATACCAGCTGCAGGGAATCACGAGTGGGAAGAGTCCCATCACACTCAGGACCTGTGTATGGGCTTCTTATAGGTATCTGGTTGGCTAGTGTGAGAACAGGATGGGCCTTTGGCCTCACCTAGCAAGGCTCTTAGGCTGTGTTTTAGCTAGGTGTACACAAGAATGTTGAGCTGGCCGTAAGCCTGTATTGCTGTCTGCCCTATTTGATGCACTCAATTCAGGCAGGGGGTGTGTGAATCTGGTTTCATAGTCTGTAGTATAGAGATTTCACATGGTTGATGTGTCTGTCTGGAGTCAGACAAAACAGCTCTTTGTGCTTTTCATGTTTAGACTACTTTGCTGAGGCACTGAGGTAACTTGCATTAAGGTAAGTCCTCCATCCTATATTCTTTTTTATTATTGTTCTGCTCATCAGCAAAATAGTAATAAGCTCCCAGAGCGCATCTTGCAGATCCATAAAAACAAGACAATCCCTGCCCTCGGGCTTACACCCTAAAAGGCACAACACAAAATGAAAATTGATCAGGAGGGAAAAGGAAATAAGCAAGCTCAAGTACCCGTTCTTCTAAGGGCCAGCTAGGATAGATACACTTTACTGGAAGGAGCCAAGAGTTGCTGGTGTCTGAGCTGTGCTGGTGGAGTGGCCCTGTATCCCTTCCCTCCTCTGCTACAGAAAAATATCTGATCTCTGTACTTTGGTTACATGCCCCAGCTTCCTCTACTTGAGCTTGCAGGGAATCTGATCCAGCTGTTAATAATTCAGCCTGCTCCTCCTCGTGGCAGGAGAAGCAGGATTCTCATTAGAGGTTTTCATTATCAAGCTGTTTTTGGAAAGGGGACGTGCATTGCAGCAGTGGAAGTAATTTTTCTTTTTTCCTTTCAAAACACTGCTATAATTCTCAGAACAGACCTCAGCAGTCAATAAAAAAACTATTATGGGAAAGGTTTGCATCTATTCTAGGTTGACACAAGACATGATAAATACTGTTATGCACACCCCTACTTCATTGAACCATGAGACATTTCAGGGGAGTTGTCCTTAACTGGGCCGGGTCTCATTTTGGGATGAGGGCACTGGAGGCATGCCATTGTTTTGTAATAATACTTGTTCTTAATTGAAAATATACATGTTGAGCATAGGTGGAGATACAGTGTTAAACCACTCCAACAAATACCGAAGTTCACTGTACCCCAGCTGTGTTTGTGGTGGGTGAAACTGCCCCTTCTGACACCGATGTTGCTGCTGCTTACCTGGATGGGGCTGGATGGGTGGGACAGTGGTGAGGCCAGAGCTATGGGTTGACCACCAGCCAACCTGATGTTCCCAGCGGTGCAGCTGCATGGCCCCAAACGTCTTGTTCCCTCCCCATCCAGGTAAGCAACAGTGACACCCCTGACACTTAAATGGTCAGGGGTCCCTTTACCTTTTACATAGAGAAAGCTGGAAAAGGAAAGGAAAAGAGCAACCCATTTTGATCTCTGCCAACCATTAATGCAGACAGCCATTAAGAGTCATTGGCCTGCAATTCACTAACTCTGGGGATCTGCTAAGCGGTATCTTCTCTGCCAGGTCTGAAGAACCCAATTAGCCTCTCTTTACAATCAAAGAATTGGAAACCTCCCCCAGCCCAGCTCATCTATTCAATCCTGTAGCAATACAAATTGCATAAGGAATATATGTGAGGAAATGTTCTTTGCTCGCATAACAATTTAGCAAAGCTAGTTACTTGACAATATTTTTTTTAATCCTTTATGCTTAGCCGGATGATATACCATACACTGCTACATACACCTGTGTGTGCCCTTAGTATGTCCAAAGGGGCAGTTTGCACACCCTTTCAAATGCAGAGTTTTGATAGATGGTTATCCTGAGTGGTAATTATAAGCATCAAGGAAAAGGCTAGTAGTCCTTACCGAGTTGGGTCAATTCATTAGCCCAGTTGTCAGTCTGTTGCCTTGCGGGAGACCAATTTGCTGTCAACCTCAATGGCTCTTTTTTGCCATAAAGGCTCAGAAAGAATCTGCTGCTTCCTCCCCTAGTATTTGTTCTATCTGTAAAACGCAGGTTCTTCATCATCATTAGTGTTTGAATAGGGAGAGAGTGGTGATTAACTGTATCATCAGCTGCAGGAAGGCTGACAAATGTGACTGTTATCTGGGGCCCTTTCATAGACATCTTCAGCAGACTGTATCAAATGGACTATCTCAATAGTACACCTCAGAGAGGTGGTTCAGAAAGAAAAAGAAGACACGACACATGGCTTCCAAGAGGGATGCCAATTCCTGTTCAGACACTCCACATGGTGCTCCCTCCACCAACAAAGTCTTATAATACTTATGTTTGGATGCAGCTTATTATTCCCAAAAGATTGGTTGAGTTTTCTTTCTTTAAACAAGTGGTTCCCAATTAGAGGTCCAGGGACCCCTGGGGGTCTGCAGAATGCACCCAGGGGGTCCATGGCCCCATCCCTTGCCTTCCCCCCAACTATTTTTGTCATTTTTTGCATGGCAATAGTACAAATTTTATGGTCTGTTTTAGCGCTGAGAGATTTTTCAATATATTGGCCAAAACTGATTTTTTTTAATTAAAAAAATATTTTTATTAAAGATTTTCTTGGTTTACAGAAGTACATGCCTTGTCTCTTTTTTCAGGTTGTACAGTCTTTCTTACAAATCAGTTACATTGGTTTTGAAATCATACCATGATAACGATTTTGACCTGGGAATTCACAGCAACATATCGCTGCTAGCATGATATTGCTGCTGATTTGAGCTGCCTTCCCTCATGCTGAGGGAAAACAGGGTAGATGATTGCCCTCGCTTCAAGGCACCATGGCACTACCTTCCCCTGGCACTGAGGCAGAACAGCTTTTCTCAGTCAGCAGGAAAGCAGCAGCAGCAGCCACAGTGTCAGCTTGATGCCCCCATCCCCTCCCACTCAACCCATGCAGGGGATGGAGGTGACTCTGCTTCCTCTCCTCCCCCCACCCATCCGATCTCTGCAGCTGTTCTTCCCCTCATCCACATGCCTGATCTGCATCCACCCCACCCTCCGGATCTCCACGAATGATCTTTCCTCATCCCCACATCTGATCTCCAATTTCAGACCTTGGGATATTTCAGAATATCACTGTGTTTAGCTGCTGATATATCACAATTTGAAAACGAGATATTGCTCAGCCCCAGTTTGTTTTCTAAGGTAAAGGCAAAGGGATCACTGACCATTAGGTCCAGTCGTGGCCGACTCTGGGGTTGTGGCGCTCATCTCGCTTTACTGGCCGAGGGAGCCAGCGTACAGCTTCCGGGTCATGTGGCCAGCATGACTAAGCCACTTCTGGCGAACCAGAGCAGCGCACAGAAACACCGTTTACCTTCCTGCCGGAGCAGTACCTATTTATCTACTTGCACTTTGACATGCTTTCGAACTGCTAGGTTGGCAGGAGCAGGGACCGAGCAACGGGGGCAAGTCCTAGGCTCTGTGGTTTAACCCACAGCGCCACCCACGTCCCAATTTGTTTTCTAGTATACCTGAAATCCTCTACAGGAGGCAGTGGAAGACAGGAGTGCCTGAAAGGTAAGATAAAACTTTATTCATATTAGCCAATGGCCATAGCAACAGTAAAACATTACAGTATACGCAGAAAAGGAAGTTTGATATAAGAGCACAATTTAAAGTCCTGACTCAGCCGTCAGTTAGTGGCCCTTATTCTGATTGCCCTTGCCATGAACCTAGCAACCTTTGCTGTTATCTGCTCATTTTGATCTGATAGAAGAAAGGACATTGTGGCAGTGGTTGAGCACCCTGGGATGGTTAGTAAGAGTGGGGTGATGATCTCATTCCTCAGGTCTTTGTAGAGAGTGCAAGACAGGAGGACGTGTGCCGCTGTTTCGGTGCTACCATCTCCACAGGGGCAAAGACACTTCTCAGGCGGGATCTTTTGGAATCGCCCCTCAAGTACTTCAGATGGCAAAACATCCAGTCTTATAAGTGTAAAACGACGTCTGTATTTTGGGATAATAAGTTTGTGCAGATATGGAGCCAGAGAATCAAAATGGAGAGGTGGAAAATGAACATATCAAGGGCAGAATTTCCTTATAGTGGCCAGGTTGTTCTGATGCTCGATATCTTTTAGACGTTGACCAATTAGACTGTTTGCTTTAGTAGGGCCCATAGTGAGTAGGTGTTGTGGGGATAGGCCACAAGAGTGAAGTTTTTGATAGACGGTTTTAAGCCAGGCACTTTTATGGGAGTCTTGAAGTACTAGGGATAGTAAATGGGGGGGGGGGATTTGAGTTTAGGCTGCAATGCTAAGCACGTTTCTGAGGGAGTAAGTTCTACTGAGCACAGTGGGACTTACTCCTGAGGATCACACTGGCATTCTCCGAGTCAAGCTCCTTTGTCTTAGGCAACATGAATTATTGAGAGCTGGCCTAAGTATCACCGTGGCTTGGATATCCTTCCTCAGCTACATGCTTGCAATGGAACACACCGTGGCCTGACCTGCGCCTTTTGTTCCAAATCAGTAAAGAGCTGGATCGATAACAGGCAATGGCTCCACTTTCCACCCATCCCAGCAGGACCCGGGTGCAGCCAATCGCATGAACCCACAGAGGAGCATTTTAAGCAAGTCACTGTATCTGCAAGGGGCTCACTGCTGTCCTGTTGCTGCTGTCCGTGGTCCTTGCAGCCATGACTCCCATAGCCAAATCTTTCTACGATCTCAACGCCACGGACCTCCAAGGGGAGAAGGTGGATTTCAACAACTTCAGAGGGAGGGTGGTCTTGATAGAAAATGTAGCCTCCCTCTGAGGCACAACGGTGAGGGATTACACCCAGATGAACCAGCTGCAGAGCAAATACCCTCGACGGTTGGTTGTGCTGGGTTTCCCTTGCAACCAGTTTGGCTACCAGGTAAGTGACCTGGTTCATTCTCTCTTTGGCCAGCCTTTAATGGCAAAAGATGGCTCCATCTCTCAGCCTTATACAAAGTCAGACCATCTGGCTCAGTATTGTTGACACTGACTGGTGGCACGGCAGCAGTCCAAATCTTTAGACAGGTGTTTCCCAGCCCTACCTGGAGCTGCTGGGGATTGAACCTGGGACCTTTTGCATGCAAAGCAGATGCTCTTCCGCTGAGCTACAGCTCCCCCGTCAAGTAAGCCCATTCTCTTCAATACCCTATCATCATTCCTTTGTGGATCCTATGTGCACTTGTTTGAGAAGTGAGGGATTGCAGCCCCTATTAACTTAATGGGGCTTTGCTCCCACACAGGAGAGTCAAGCTGCATGTGTATCGTGTAGGAGGGATAATTTTACTTATCTGAAAGACTCCTGGACTGTGACTTCTGAATAACTGTTCAATCCTGCAGGGTTCTCAGGAGAAGAGAGAAGCAAAGTGCCAGGTGAATAAAATTCAAATACATTGTTCAGAAACAATTCAATTGCTATAAATTGACACTTATTCTGGCTCTTCTGTTAAGATGTAATTTAGCATATTTACGGCCCTATAATATCGCCACTTTTAAAGGCATCACAAAGGCTCTATTTGGAGCAAAAATGTAGAAATTTATAAGAGAATGTCTGTGTACACATCATACATTTAAAGCACATGACTTCTCCCAAAGAATCCTGGGAACTGTAGTTTGTTAAGGGTTTGGGGAAGTGTAGTTCTGCCAGAGGAGACTTTGGATCACTCCTTGATTCCAGAGAAAGCCATTATTATCTATGCCAGTTACACTGTTTTTACTATTCCTATTATTATTTCATTTATGACACTCCACCCACCCTATAGTCTCAGGGGGGTGTTAAAAACAGTTTAAACTTACTATTACAAAAAATGCAATCATAAAAACTAATAAAAAGTAACAAAAGCTCATACAATTGCTTATGTTATATTTAGATTTCCAATCTTTCTGCATTATAAATATTAGAGGCCAATTTCTTTAAAAAGGGGGGGGTGCTTGATTCAAGAAGGTGTATACCATCCAAATATTGACTTATACTTTCTTTTGCTATCAACTTAGATACACTGATTTTTATTTTTACTTTAGCTTTTCAGTTTTTTTGAGCTGCTTCATTGTAGGCATCTATTTTTTCACTAGGGATCAGTCAGGAGTTTAATTCAATCACCATTTGTGATCCTGACACCACTTGCATCAGTTCCTGAGCTTGCCCTTAATCCATATGAAGATTTCTGTTGCCCATCATGCCAGGTGCCCAGGAAGGAAATTACTCATCGCCACTTGTTTGTTCTGGGATAAACTTTGCTTTGCTAGCAATAATGCATGGGGTTTGTGCTAGCACACTAAACACATGACTTTGTCCCTTTCACTGCAGGCAGCAGAGGAGATGGTAGAAGTAGCTCTCATCAGTCTAGGAGCCAGCTATGAGGATTTTGTAAGGATGTTTGCAGACATGGGAGCAATTTGCAACAGGACTGTTTGTCTGGCCAAGGCTGCTGCTACTTGAGTGTAAATCCCCCTGAACAAGGAGTTCTTGCTGAGTAAACAGGCACAGGATTGCTCTATAAATTGCAAAGCAGCAGACAAACCTAAAATAGGTAGCCCTGATTAGAATGACAGAACTCAGAAAGACCTAAGGTCATTGCCAATCCACACTCTCAAACTGTCTCTGTGCTGTCTCCAGCAGGCAGCTCCTTCCTCAGTGCCAAACACTGAACACAAAGGACCTGAATATAAAACAAATGCCATTGGCCAGCCTACCCAAGGAGAAAATATTCCTGGCACTGAACCACAAATGCACCACACTTATTTCCAGTTGTGGAAACCTAACACCCTAGAATAGAGATAACAAGTTATTTTTTCCCCGAGAGCCACAGTCACTCTTGGCCAATCGTCTGGTGGCCTCATGCTGCAGAGGGGCAACCCACTCCTCTCTCACACATGCAACCCACACTCCTCACCACCCCAGAAAGGATCCATATAAGAAGGTCTGAAAACAAAAGATGTGTTCATAAGACTTTTAAAAATAAAAAAACAAAGGTTCACTGCACGTAGCACTTGACAGAATCCAGCCAACTTTAGAGTCAGTATTCTACAATTCCAGAAAGACTTCTAGAGTCTAGCAGCGTCTGTGGGAGGGGGATACTGCAATATGCTAAAAGAACAGGAAAATCATCCCACTGGTCAAAATGAAGATGATTCGAAACCAATTATTGCTTATAAACACATATATGAAACTCTTGCCTTGAAAGCAATGAGAATCCTTGTTTCTCACATCTATTCTAGGGAGCCAGCCCCATAATGTTGTCCAATATCCTCTTGTATGAGCTTCAGCCCTTGCAAGGAAGACACTTTCACATAAGTCAAACCAGCCATGCATTTGAGCATAGCAGGAACCAAAGCAAGATTGCATCCAAAGTGCTCTGCTGGATAGACTGAGCTTGACCTGTACAGGGTGTCCCAATGCTCATTGTGCTTCCCGCTTCTCTCCATCAGGAGAACTGCACAAATGAAGAGATCCTCAACAGCCTGAAGTATGTGCGGCCTGGGTCCGGATTCGAACCCAACTTTACCCTTTGCCAGAAATGCGAGGTGAACGGCAAGAACACCCACTCCGTCTTTGCCTACTTGAAGGACAAACTTCCTTACCCAGATGACAACCCTTCCTGTTTCATGATGGAACCGAAGTTCATCATTTGGAGCCCGGTGCACCGCCATGACATCTCCTGGAACTTTGAGAAGTTCCTGGTGGGGCCTGAAGGCGAGCCTTTCAAGCGCTACAGCCCCCGATTCCTCACCACCAACATCGAGCCCGACATCCAGCGCCTCCTGAAGCTTGCCAAATAAGAGGAGAACAAGCATCCCCAAGATTATTCCAGTGGAGACTGGTCCATTAGGGGAACCTCTGCCTGCCCTCCCCTTATTTCTTACAAATGCCCTGGGAGGTGGCACGGCCCGTCAGCTTCCTCCTCTTCCTTCTCCGTTTTGCTCTTGCAGAACTCAGAAGGAAGGAGGCAAACTAGAGTTAGTGGGCTCTGTCTGTCATTGGCCCTGGCCCCACTTACTGTCAATCTCCCTGCATTTGGCCCCAATGGGCACCAGCCACCACTGGATTATTCTAAGTGTCTTGATGGAGCAAGGCGGGTCATAAGAATGGCTTGACGTTCACTGCGCTGTGATCATGGGTGTCTCCTCCCTGTCCACCCATAGAAACACCCCCACGCCCCAACTCCCTCACCTTCTTTCTGAGTGTATCAGGTGCTTCCTCCTAGCTCCTGACAGAGCCAGCATCAGACTTTTACTGAGTGACGGTGCCCTCCTAAAGCTCAACGGAGGGGGCCCGAAAGGTGTGAAGGTGCTGATCCCCTGGCCCTTGCTTGCTGGGGACTCCTTGTTTCATGAGTCCAATAAATGAGTTGATGAATCCCCCCTTGTTTTCTTATCACGCACCTTTAAAATGGTTGCTTTTGCTTCCTAGGCTGAAAAAGCCAAAAACCATGTCTGTTTCCCATTTCTGGCCTTCAATGTCCTTTTTATTCCCATTTCCCATAAATCGTGGCATTAAACAAAGCAGTATGTGTACAAGACCAGGCAGAATCACCGGGGGCCATTTATTAGCTTAATATTTCTGTCCTTCCACATCCCCCAAAGGCTCCAACCATTCAACGAGGCTTGAAAAATGACCCTAAACTCTGCTAGGTAAAAGCATTCCCTGCTACAATTCATCCCCCCCGTGAAAGTATAGACTTAAGAAATATGACTTGCAGTATTCTACCAGGCCCCTTTGTCTTAAGATATTGGGACTATACCTAGTTAAAAAATGTACATGCTGCCCCAGCTCCATGCAGGAACTATTAAAATGCCCAGCTTTGTTAACACATATTGCTAGTGCAGCAACAAATAAATTGGGCTTTGCCACTAAGCAAAGTAAATCATAATACCAGTTGCTGGAAACCGCAGGAGAGGAGAGTGCTCTAGTGCTCAGCTCCTGCTTCCGGGCTTTCCATAAGCATCTGGTTGGCACTGTGAGATCAGAAGGCTAGACTTGATCCAGAAAGCTCTTCTTATGTTCTGATACTCAATGCAAGTGGCAGAAGCTCTTCCTAATCCAGGGGAAAATCAGGCAATTAAGATTCTAATTTTATGGAATCTACCACCTCCACTTCTGATTATATCGCTTTCAGCGGTACCAAACCTCCTGCTTCTGCTTTTGTCTTGCCAGCTGAACTCAGGTGAGCCATTTATGTCGCTGCTATTTTTCTTTATATGCTTTTCCTGCTCACATCCAACTCATTGGAACCTTTACCACACTCTTATGCACATCTCAAGAAACATCCAGAAGTCTCTGCCATCTCATAAAAGCATTTATATCATAGTTTACTCTATGTTTATCCTAGGGCAAATAAAATGCAAAATGTCCCAATCTAGGATTTGGGTTTGAGGGGCATGCACCTGGCACCCACTGCAGAAAAGCTGACCTGGTCTCATGAATTCTGCAGGCGGATGAAATGTCTGCAGTTCTGTTTATCATTCCTCCTCCACCACCACCCGCTTTCATCTGACAGTGGCAGACTGCAGCACTCCCCGTCGCTGGCACTGTCTAACCAGCCAGGGAGAGCTGGCCACACAGGTAAAGCAGAATTGTGGGGTGCAGAATGACTCCAAAAACTGTCAAGGTAAATGAGAGGGCACGAAGCAGGTGCAAAAGGAGACATCTGAGTTAGGAAATGGTAAACCTGAGTATCTCTTGACAAAATGCCTTTTGCTTAAGGAGAGGCTAGTCTGATGTATGCCAGAGCTGCACAGGAGATTTAATTGCTGAGATTCATTATGATCATTTTAAATGATAAGCCCTGCTTCCCTGCACCTGGGCTTGCCACATCACAAACGACAATCCCAGTCTCTATATGCATGCCCCAATTATTCAGTAAACTCCTCTTAAAGATCATGGGGAGCCTAATGCAGCTCCGGCGGCTGTCCTTTTACCCTCACGAAGAGACACATTAGCAAAGTTTTGACTAGAGAGAGCAGAAGGAACGATAGAACAAAGTAGAGATGCGCCCCCCCCGGTCACGATACAGCTTTCTGCAGGTATCTTAATATGCTGTATGGAACAAGGCCAGCTTTTGCAAACTGGGTCAGCTGTACAATGCGACGTGACTTCCATTCAAAGCAAGGCCTGCTCTTAACGGGAGTCACATTGCCAGATGGATGAAGAGGGAGATTCAACGCTCGCCATGTCCTGCCACTGTCCACCTGCATGACCCTGGGAGAGTCTACGCTCTTCAGGTATTGTAGAACCATAAAAAGCAATAATAAAAGCATGCTGTGGACCACAAAGAAAGGATGGGCGTTTTGCACATCAACACAGCCCCTGTTCTTTGCAGGGTCATTATTTCCAATGCATCCCTTACACTGTTGATTGAATGAGGTGGCTGCTGTAGTTTTCTTCGGGCACTTCAGAATATCAAGGCCTGTTTACTGTATTTACAGCACCGTATTTCATGGCAAGTCCTTCAGCAGGAATGAGGAGACTGGGGCCCGCCGCTGCCACATTTTTGACTGGCTGCAATACAAAGACTTTCCCCTGAAGTGCTTAAAGTGCAAGAGGAAAGAAACACAGACATCTAATGAGTCATGTCCTGTTAGACCCCTCCCCCCTTTTAGTCTAAAATATAAATAAATCTATGAAGCTCATTACAGACTCCATTTAGTCAGGCCTTCCAGGAATTAAAATCAATACAGGTCCAAGAAACAAACACTAAGTGGCAAGAACAGAGGGTTTCCTTCAGAGCAAGGAGAGCAATGTGCAATTCTGCTAAAGGAAGTGCTGGCTAGTGTAACACTTTATTAAAAAATGGGGCAGATTTTTAAAAAAGTTCCACGTGCAGGAGCCAGCACAAGAAGCCCTGCTAGCACAACAAGGCTTCTACACCTCCCTTCCCCAAAATCCGTACTGTGAGGTTGGGAGAACCACCAGAACAGTACACAGGAAAAGAAGAGAGGGGATTGTTTGATCTGTCAAGCAAAAAATGCTTGTGCTGATGGGATAATCCTAATAGCGCAAGGTTCAATCCCACGCAATGGGTGCAGCCCAGGCTCATTTGCCTCATTTATTTCAATAGGACAGAAGCATAAGCTGTATTGCACCTACTATGCTGTCCAACAAGATGGCTAAAATATGCTTTATTTTCGCCATGAAGCTTGTCAGTGTACCCTTGTAATTTTCTAGTGGGTCCGGTTAGCTATTTAGGAAAGAAATAGTTCCAACACCATGGGTTTAAAGTAAGCTTTAATTCCAAATGCAAGAACTGTCTTGCTGGATCACACCAAAGACCCATCTCATTAAGCAGTAGCAGCCTTTGTCCCCAGAGTTGCTTGCTTTGAAATCAGTGGTTAAAATCAGCAGAGTTTTGAAAGGCTCAGTCCACTATCGTGATTCAAAGTGGCATCCAATAGTTTTCAAACATAGACAAAAACCTGCTCCTTGATCTCAGAAACCACCATGCAAAATTTGGTTTTGGTATCTTCGATGTCAAAACGCATAGCAAACAAAACAACTGTCCAGTACATTACACTTCCAAAATGGGCGATCCAGAGGCTGATACTCAAGAGTTATCAGAAGCAGTGGCTGAAAAGTTACAGCACTTGGCTTTGTTCCTGAAGGGCAACTTCACATTTTACTCAGCCTCACACCAGATCCCCCCCACTCCCCGCCTAATTTCACAACCCAACCAAAGCCAGGTAGAACTAGACAAGGACCACAGGCTGGTACTGACTTAGGACAGAACTGTAATTGTTAAACTAAAACACTAACATGCTTCAGGTGTTAAGTGTGGGGAACCTTTGGCCCGCCAAATGTTGCTGAGCTACAACTCCCATCAGCCCCATCTAGCATGGCCAATGGCCAGAGATACTGGGAGTTGTAGTACAGCAACATCAGAAAGGCCAAAGGAACCCAACACCTCCCATACTTGAGCCAATTCACTAAATATATAACACTGATAAAGACTTTTCCTGACACTGAAAAAGAAATAATCTGGGCAGTTCTTACCCAGCAACTTTCTTTCCTGCTGAGGATTAATTTCTATTATCTCTCAGATGGTGTTATCATTTCTGCATGAAGCCAACTGCAGAAGAACCCCTCTCAGAATTATTATTTTTGTTTCTCCTACCAAAGCCAGCTGACAATGGGTCCTAAAAATTAGGCCCTAAAGCCAGCACAGAGGAAATGGGCTTCTTTATCACCTACAAGTTTAGGAAGCAGTATGTACCTATAGTGGAGAGGAGGTAAGCAGCTTGTAACTTAAAAACATGGAGGAGGGTTATATCACTTGACTCTGCATGGACTGAACAGGATTCCCCCCCCCAAATCCATGTTTCATAACTTGCTGTTACAAAATTAACATGATACAATCGGCTAAAAACAAGAGGCTCAGAACAATGGAGTCATCAGATGAGGATCGTCTGGCAAGACACTGATAGAATCTTCTGCCCTGCCACAGAGCATGCACAGCATGGTGTATTCCTAGAACAAGAGACAAAACATACTTACGTTGGGAGGGTGAGAGAAAACACTTCCTGCCCATAACACGGGCCAGGCCCCATCATGCTAATCTAGCATCTACCTAGTTGAAAACTACAGTGGAAAGTCTCCAGGTCATCAAAGAAGGCTGCTGTTTTACAAACCAAGACCTTTAATGTGCAGTTTGCCCATGTCACATCATATTGAAGCCATGTTTGTTAGAACTTGCTTCTACATGAGCCAATAATTCTTTTTTTTATTATTGTGAAGACATGCCTGTACAATTCCAGCTGCTCAGAACCGGTGCGACACTATGAAAATGAAATGAAGTACTGGGTGTAGACTTTAGCATCTGAAAAACTTCAGATCTCATTTTTTTAAAACCTGTTGAGTTTCTTCTCCTTATGGTCACAAATACAATCTTTAAAATTTGCAGGCAATGCCAGAATAGGGGGAGAGTAGACAAAAAAGCAGGCTTCTATATTTCCATGTCATTTCTCAGAATTATACCAGAGACCCAAGTATACAAAAAAGCAAGTACCGTATTTTTTGCTTCATAAGACACACTTTTCTCCTCCTAAAAAGTAAGGGGAAATGTGAGTGCATCTTATGGAGCGAAGGGCGCTGCGCAGAGAGGGAGAGCTATGCAGCGCCCCTTCAGCGAAGCGCCTCTCCTGGCTTCTGCCTTAGCCACGCGCAGCCTCTTCCGGGCAGGGGGAGCCTTCATCCCACTGCCCAGGAGAGGCTGGGGGTGCGGCTATTCCATAAGCCAGGGCAGCAATCGGGATCGCTGTGCAGTGATCCCACTTGCTGTCCTGGCTTCAGCCTTAGCCACGCGAAGCCTCTTCGGGCAGGGGGAGCCTTCATCCCAGAAGCCAGATCCCTCTTGCTGTTCTGGCT